TGCTGAATAACTGAATGAGGGGAGGCTCTGTCCAAAGATACCACACCTGGGGAACTCCCTAGAGAAAGGGATGAAGACAGACTCATCCTATTGCCTCAGTGCTGTGAGTGTGCGTGTGTGTGTGTGTGTGTGCACGCATGTGTGTGTATCCAACAGCAACTTTCAACAGCAGGCCACCAAAGCCTAGTGGAACTAACTGGCATTTAAACCACATACCTTATGTTTTGCTGGAGCAAAAGTAGTTCTAAAAATTTTTTTTAAGACAGAGTTTTGTTCTGTTGCCCAGACTGTAGTGCAGTGGCACGGTCTCGGCTCACTGCAACCTCCGCTTCCTGGTTCAAGCGACTCTCCGGCCTCGGCCTCCAGAGTAGCTGAAATTACAGGTGCTGGCCATCCAACCTGGTTAATTTTTGTATTTTTAGTAGAGATGGGGTTTCACAATGTTTCCCAGGCAGAGCTCAAGTGATCCACCTGCCTCGTCCTCCCAATGCTGGGATTATAAGGGTGAGCTACCATACCTGGCCCTAAAATATTTTTTAAAGCTTTTACAAAGTATTAAAAAGTCAAAATAGTTTTTCAAAGTATGTTATTAATACTTAAGCCTGGCAATTCCACTTCTAGGAGATTATGCTAAGCATCATCATGCTTATATGTGTAGAGGCCACAAACACAAATATGTGTGGGGCTGAGCAGATGGAAGGAGCTGGGTAAAGGACGTGCATTCTGTCGGGTGGGGGATGGGAAGGCCAGTGGCATGCTGGAAAAAGCTTGCCTGTTACTGCGATTTGAGGACAGGAATCCAGAGTAGCCAAAGGTTGTTTTTCAATAGGGCCCAGAAATCTCAATTTAAAAATATTGGCTGTGGTGGACTGCAAAAAATGGACCCAAATTATTCCCCTCCTCTCTCCATGCCTTTTGGTAGCGCCCTCCTGCCTGGACTCTGAGCTGGCACATGACTGGCTTTGGCCAGAGATGTCAGCAAAAGGGATGCAAACAGAGGAAAGGTGTTGCACATGGGGGCTTGCCTTCTTGCTGCCTGGGGAACCCCCGTCACTACTACCAAGTAAAGATGACAGGGTAACCGGACAGATCAAAGGCATGTGACCTAGCCACATGTGACCTGTTGCCTCAGGAAATAGCCTGTGACTTCCCAGACACATGAGTGAGTCCACCCTAGGGCATCCTGCCTGAGCCAACCCACCAGCTGACCACAGATGCACAAGAGAGCCCCCAGCAGAGATCAGCTGAGCTGGCCCAGAGCGGAAGAGCAAGCCCAGCCAGCTCACAGAATTATGGGCTCAATTTTGAGCCACACATTTGTTGTTTTAAACCGTTACATCTTGGGGGTGGTTTGCTATATAAAAAAGCTAATTGAAAACAAAACTAAAATACATTTGGCACTAAACAAAGCGGGGATCTAGTTCATTGTAATCTCTGATGAATGTAAAGACTTGACCACAAACACTCCCTTCCTTGCATCACTGTTTATAATAATGAAAAAGCAAAACCGACCTAAAGATCCATGCAGAGAAGTGGTTAAGACGTGATGGCACATCCACATACTGGAAAGGTATCCCGCCACTGAAAACGAGGGCACAGAAGAGCGGCAAAGCATAGGCTGTCAACCCTTGCTAAGTGTGCCATCAAATTTTGATCAACAGGTAAAATTTCATTGCCCTCCTGGAACACATACTCTTGTGGAAATGGAACACAACACTGATTGGATCATCAGGCGGTGTAGAGGCCATCTTGCTGTAAGGAAGACATAAAATCTCAGAGTAAAGCCCAGACTGTGCTTAACTTTGCTTTTTGAGGATATTAGAATGCACAGAGGGAAGCTGTAAACAGCTCTATTCAAATAGTGTAATGTGATTCCAAATGGGGATGGAGCAAAAAGTGGGACAAGGGTTTTGAGAGTGAAAGACATCGCTATACTTAGTAGCTCACTGTCTTTTAATCGCTTCAAACATGCCACCAAAAATTATAGGACTTGAAAGTGTGTTGGGAACACAGAGGATTTTAGAAATCATTGGCATAGAGAAATAATGACACCGAAAGACAGTTTTATGTTATATAAAAGAGGCCAATTGTAAAGGAGCAGGTACAACATAATCCCATTGTTATAAAATTTAAAACTTAGTTAATTTTAAGCCATGAATATATAAAGACCATTTGGAGTATGCCATTGAGGAATATTAAAAAGATGCATCATTTTAATTACACATTTTAGTCTCTCTATATAGTCCTCCCATTGACAAAAAAATAAGTCAAGTGCATTATCAGTTGGAAAATACAACACCTTTTATAATGCAATGCAGAGAAAATCCTCTTCTTTTTATAAAAAGAGTATGCAGGCATAGCAAACGAACTGGAGGGCAGAGATAAAAATCGGTATGTACAGTGCTTAGATGGGAGTAGGGATAATTTTTATTTTTCTTCATCTTATTTTTTTTTCAAACTGCCACAATAAACATGTACTTTATGTTGAGAAAATTTAATAAAAGTTACAGTTTTAAAAACATTAGGGGCCACACTCATACATGCATATGCACATGCACACACACACGCACACACACACACACACACTCTCTCTCTCTCTCTCTCTCTCTCTCTCTAACCGAAACCAAAGTGGTGCAAGACTATATTTCTGCCAGTGCCTGCAAATGCTCTTGCCACCTCAATGCACTCATTCAGAGTTTTCCTGGGGGTAGACAGTCTCTGGAATTGTAGAATCTTCTCCCATGCAAAAACACAGAAAATCCCTGCAGGCACATCACCTCCCCAGTTCTCTTAGGAGGCAGGCGGCTGCTGTGTAGCATTATTCTTCATGGCCAGAGGGAGAACCAAGATAGGGATTCAGCTGCTCTGTTCTTCTACTCGGCAAGTCTTCTGCAAGCACATGAGTAGGCTCAGGGAGGTGCTGCTACCATTTGGTGGTGAAAACACTCTGCTCATTAAGGGCAACAAGTCAGAGCTCTCTAAGGGCCCCCTCGGCCCTGTCTGTCTGGCCCATCATGGGCTCGTTCTTCACTAATAGTCTCTCACTGCTGACAGAGCCCACACGGGTCTTTATGTGTGTCAGATTCCTTGCGAATGGTGAATGGCAGAGAGATGACCCAGCTAATCATCAGACCTGCTTCTAAAATGCCATCCAGTTAGATGCAGCAGAGCCCAGCTCTACTCACTCATCCATGAATGCGACTCTGAGCTGTGAGAACAAAAGCCAAAGGAACTCTCCATTAGGAAACTAAGGGGAAGACAGCAATGTAACAAGTCCCAGGTTCAAAATGACAAGTGATTCACTGAAGATGCCACAGCAGTATAGTCTATCACTGGGCGCAGGGATATAGCCAAAAGAATGAGAATTTTACAAGATAATGAATTACTGGCTGGGCTACAAAATGGAAAATTCAAGCTGATAAGGCCAGTGGACTATCCTTTTGAACTGAATTCGATGAAAGAATAAACTGTGGCATAGTAGCTCTTTTTTAGTAATGGGAACATGGTTACAAGATGCCTGAGAGGATGTTATCCACACACTACTGTCATCTTTTTAAGCACTCACTTCATGCTCAAGTCTGCCATTCTATAAACTTATTCTTGGAGTAGAGAGAAGTAAAAAGCATGATTTTTTTTCCTCCATTTTGAAAAATCCCAAATTACGTTAGAAGTAGGAAATAGGGGCCGGGCGCGGTGGCTCACGCCTGTAATCCCAGCACTTTGGGAGGCCGAGGCGGGTGTATCACGAGATCAAGAGATCAAGACCATCCTGGTCAACATGGTGAAACCCTGTCTCTACTAAAAATACAAAAAATTAGCTGGGCATGGTGGCGCGTGCCTGTAATCCCAGCTACTCAGGAGGCTGAGGCAGGAGAATTGCCTGAACCCAGGAGGCGGAGGCTGCGGTGAGCCGAGATCGCGCCATTGCACTCCAGCCTGGGTAACAAGAGTGAAACTCCGTCCCCCCCCCCCAAAAAAAAAGAAGTAGGAAACAGATTCCATAATTATTAAGGAGAGATAACAGATTGGCCCCATTGAAAAGTTTATAAAATCCAATCCCATTTTAAAGCCTCGTAAGAATGTGGCGACAGTAGCTCCTCCCCGTGCCCTCAGCTTTCAGCCACTATTCAGCTTTGCCTGTGGTCTAACTCTCCCTTCAGCCACAGCGGTGGCAAATTAACAGCTGCCATTTCCTGAAAGCTGACAATGAGCCGCATCTGGATGTGCTCTTGGCGGACATGACTGCTTTAATCATCAGAAAGACCTCAGAGGTGAGTACAATCATTTCCCCATCCTACCAATGAGGAAACTGAGGCGTAGAGAGGGTAAGTAACTTGTCCAAGGCCATACAGCTAGAAGGCGGGGACCAGGATTCGAGCTTCTTCAATGAGCATGCAAGAGAGAAGGGGAGATGCCCCGTGGAGCAGTTGGAAAGGGCTCAAGAGCTGGCGCCCAAGCTCCTTCACCCTGGGCCAATCCCTTAATCTCTCTACAGAAGGAGGTGAACCACCTTGCCCACTGCCTCACAGGATTGCTGAGAAGTCCAAATGAGATCAAATACAGGAAAAACCTTGAAAATAGAAAAGCATTCTCAAAGCACCCTGTGCTATTGATAAAAGGACAGAAGACTAAATCACACTCCTTAGGAGCACAACACTTCAATCATTCTGGCTTCAATGGAAAGACCACACCCCCTCTCGTCCCCTGACTTAATGCTTTCAATAAACAGCACAGGATTTTCTTGCGCAATCTTTTAAAGATGAAGGGCTCAGGTATGCATGCTGGTACTTGAACTGGTCTTTGCAGGGAGCTTTAGTGTCTTACAATATTTAATACAGACATCCTGCCTGAGCTATTTATCCTGACTTGGGAAAGTAACCATTTCCCTGTTACTGCTAATTCTGTTCCAAAAACAAAAAAAAGACTATTGTAATTTCATACCCTTAATCTATGCAACACAGGAATGAGAAGGAAAAAAAAAAACGCAACACAGTACTTTCTCATGAACGAGACACATTATATACAGTAATTCACATTTTATTATTGTATCATTATGAACAGTGAAGTCCATAGTTCAGTCCTCAGACAACATAAAAGTAAATGTTTTACATATACTTTTGTAACTCCTCCCTGTAATGTGATGACATGATATCTATATTTTTTGAACCACTGTGATTTACTAGTCTATTAAAAAGCCATTACACATTGAAAAACTGAACAATTCCAACAATGCAATCTTCAAGCAATTAAAAACAAAAAAATGTTGAGCCAATGTGGGAGATCTGCTGAGTAATCCGGCCTTTGAAGTAATGTCTAGTGGAAACCCTGTTTTCTCCTTCCATCTGAGGGTTATTAAGAATAAAAAAGCCAAACCAAAAACCACCTGCTCTGAGTGAAAGTAAGGATTCAGCCCACATGACTCAGGGACACACTCCCCAGTGGTTGGTGAAGGCACCATCACTCCAACATGTGCAGGAGCAGCGAGGGGTCTGCCTCCACGGCCCGCAGCCCATTGTGTAGGCTCTGGAAGGTGGCCTCCTTCCCGAAGCGCTGCCGCCAGCGGACGAAGGCCTCCACCACCTGTGACTGCACATTGTGGGGGTGGTTGGCCTTACAGCGGTAGATATCCGTCTGGGACAGCCCCAGAGATAGCACCACAGGCTCCCACTCGGGCCCCAGTCTCTGGGCCAGCCGGTTAATCTGCCGGTCTGATGGGGAGCTGTTGAGGAGGTGCGAGGGGATCACAGTCATCTGGTCACCTGAGGAGGAAAAAGACACCCGGGTGAAATGAGCAAGGCAACAAACACATCATTTGGGGGCAGAAGCAAGAGACGGGAGAAGAAAGCATGCTTCCAAATGGCAGAGCCAATTGGCTCTCATCTTCGCTGCTCTGTACAATGCAATGATTCAGGGCTTATCTATGAGAACGTTTATTACAGAAACTTTTTTTTTTTTGAGACGGAGTCTCACTCTGTCACCCAGGCTGGAGAGCAATGGTATGATATTGACTCAGTACAACCTCTGCCTCCTGGGTTCAAGTGATTCTCTTGCTTCAGCCTCCCAAGTGGCTAGGATTACAGGCACCTGCCATCACACCTAGCTAATTTTTGTATTTTTAGCAGAGATGAAGTTACATCATGTTGGCCAGGCTGGTCTTGAACTCCTGACCTCAGGTGATCCACCCGCCTCGGTGTCCCAAAGTCCTGGGATTACGGGTATGAGCCACCACACCTGGCCTATTACAGAAACTTTGAAAGCAAGAAAATAAAAATAACTAGAAATCCCACCAGAAAAACTCACTGATAATAACCGGTCTATTTCCTTTGATATATAAAACACACATGTAGGGTCTATTTCCTTTGATATATAAAACACACACCTTGTACATGCTGCTTTGTAATAGACTTTTTTTCACTTCTGTCTCTTTTACTCAAGGCCAGGCAAGGTATTCTGGGGAATTCAAGAATGGTGCACAGACCCCAGCTCCCTCTGGCACTGTCTGTGGCCTTAGTGATGGGGCCTGTTCCAAGTCTGGGAATGCCCCTCCCTATGGGAAAGGCAGGTGCTAGAGGACAAACGCTAAATAAAACAGCTACCCTCCCCAATGAGCTTGAACTTGAAATATTACCGAGAAAAGGTGTAGCTACTAACAGAAGCAGGGGCCAAGAAGCCTGCTGAGAGCAAAATAAACCTAAGAGACCATGGGGTAGCGGGAAGGGAAGAGAGGGGTGTTTGTTCGTAATAGAGACCACAAGAGTTACTGTCCTGGCAGAGTCCAGAAACGGAATAGGAAGTATGTGCTGAGATGAGGCAAGGAGGAAATCTGACCTTACACTTGCTGAACTAGATTCCTATTTGCCCGAGGCCAGTCTGCTAAGAAGCATGATGCTGAGTGAATGTTTATAAATGTGCCCAGCAAAACCAATGACCAGTGTCTTTGATTATACAGAAGGAGCTCCTAACCTTGTTAGGGAAGGAAGGCCTTCTAGGGGAAGGAGGCTAAAGCTAAGCCCTGAACACTAGAAGGAGCTGGGTGATGAGGGAGGAAGAGGGCGTGGTGTATCTCTAGAAGAGAGAATTGCAAGTGCAAAGGCCCAGAGGCAGGAGAATCCCAATGGAGGAAGGGAAAGACACTCGCAGCAGCCAAGTGCAGAGATTGAGAGGGACTCCAAACATCCAAAATCATTTGCCAGTTCAGACATTTGTTTGACAGCACAGTACACTATGCTCCTGTCCATCAGCATCACAGGGATTCAGGTCAGTCTACTTTATGCTCACCAGTCCACTATTCTGTTTTGATTTATGATTCAATAAGAAGGTAAAGGCACCCTATTACAAGAGCTGATGTTTTCCACAGCCCATGCCCTTTGGCCTCTGGGTAGTGGCCAACACCTTAGGGATGAGTTGCAAAAATATTGTCAAGCGCTCTTTCTGGTGTTTGTCAACACTACAATTTAAGAAACAAGGACTAAGAAGCAATTAGAATACTGATGATACTACCGATCAATATTTAAGATTAACAGTAATGATTTTACAGCTTGTATAAAAACATGGGCTCATTAAAAAAAAAATCAAGCAACACAAAACAGCACAAAGAAGAGAAGAAATCATCTAATATCCCGCCATTATGTTTACAGTTGGTGACCATCATTCTGGATATCTCTTTAAGCAAATATACTGGTAGAAGGCTAGATAGAGGGTAATGGCTTCGATAACATATGAGCTTTTTTTCTAGTAAGAGCTATTTAATTTAGTTTGAACCTAACAGAAGAAAAAGCAAAAGAGAAACAAAATGACATTCTGACCAGCAGCTACAAATTACATACTTGAAAACACACACATACACACAATTTAATGCACAGAAAAAGTTATGAAAATTTAACTGCATGTTTTCATAGTAATAATCTATAATCACATTTCCTCTCCATTTCCGCACACTTGATTATTTTTTGCTCATACAATGTTTATTTTGTCAGATGCCTAACAGTTCTATGTTTCTTTAACAATCATCCATGCCCCCTTGCCCCACTGTTCAGTCCTAAGGCGGCATCATAATGGTTTGAATGCTCACCAGTGTTCTGTCATTGCCACTGCTACTGTTTTTCATCTGTGGCTTTTCTACTCCTGGGTCTGTTCTTCTGATTTAACTCATTTGGGTCAATTTCATCACAGGGTGTTTTTTTTTTTTTTTTTTTTTTTTTTTTTCAAGAAATGGTTGTGGTTGCAACAGTCCCTGACTTCTTTCAGGTCAAGGCGGCCTGCTCATTGCCTTCACTGGAATAATAATATTTCGAGAACAATTTTATATTATTTTTATCTTTTTATATTCTTTTTAATAGTATAATATAAAATTATCTTCCTAATTTTAAATTATATTATTTAAATAATTTTATTTCCCTTAAAAGTTCGTAGACCTCGTTCATATTTTATGACAGGGGTTGCTGGTGTAGAGAATTCTGATACCAACTTAATTATCCAGTATTTTGTGTGACTTGCTTTTATTGTCTAAGGTCAAATTACTGAACCTTTAGACCAGGGTATATCTTATTCATTCTACATCTGAACTTCCAGATATGTGGCATAACCTTCTAACTAAAGATTCAGTTCTCTCTTCCTTTTGGGAAAATCTTCCTGGGTCACATGGTTGCATTCTTTCCTTGCTCCATATGCTGGACGGCTGTGCTTCTCCTCCATGGCTGTCATATTCTCCTCATTGCTTTAATCCCCTCCTTGGGATTATCTCACTCTTTGATTTTCGGCTCTGTCTATCCTGTGTGTGTGTGTGTGTGTGTGTGTGTGTGTGTGTGTGTGTGTGACAGAGAGAGAGAGAGAGAGAGAGAGAGAGTGAGTGTGTGTTTTCTGGTTTTAATGTTGTATGGTGTTTTTGTTCTCAATTTCTTTTCTTGGCTCTATCTTTTAAAAATTCCATTCTACTTCACACTCATTAGGAGAGCTACTATTAAAAAAAACAAAAACAGGAAGTCCCAAATGTGGGCAAGGGTGTGGAGAATATGGAACTTTCGCGCACTACTGGTGGGAATGTAAAATGGTACAGGTGCTGTGGAAAACAGTATGGCACTTCCTCAAAAATTTAAAGATAGAATTAGCACATGATCCAGCGATTCCACTTCTGGATACATACTCAAAAGAACTGAACGCAGGGACTCAAAGAGAAATGTGTATACCTACGTTCATAGCAGCATTATTCACAATAGCCAAAAGGTGGAAGCAAACTAAGTATCCATCACTGGATGAACGGATACGCAAAATGCGGTACAAACATACAGTGTTATATTATTTGGCCTTAAAAAGGATGGAACTTCCGACACATGCTCCAACATGGATGAATCTTGAAGACATTATGCTAAGTAAAATAAGCCAGTCACAAAAGGACAAATACTTTCTGATTCTATTCCTATGAGGTACTTGGAGTCGTCAATTCAGATACAGAAAATAGAATGCTGGTTGCCAGGGGGTGGGGGAGAGAAAATAGGGAATTATTGTTTAATGGGTGCAGAGTTTCAGTTTTGCAAGATGAAGACTTTTAAAGATTGGTTATAAAACAATGTGAAGGTACTTAGCACTACTGAACTATACATTTAAAAAATGGTTATGATGGCAAATTTTATGTTATGTATATTTTACAATTAAAAATAAAAATTAAAAGTAATCCCACTGTTGTTTTATCATAACTATTTCTTGAGTTTTTGTTTCTACTGAATTGATGCTGAGCCTTTATACAGCATAAAATACTTGTGAGGTTGAGTCTTCTAGGACTGGGTCTTCTTACAGACCAGACTGGTTGTATGTTTATTTTTGCAAGCTGTGTTCCTTTCTTTCCTTTTCTTTATTTAAAAATATATATATACTTAATAGAGACAGGGTCTCACTATGTTGTCCAGGCTTGTCTCAAACTCCTGGCCTCAAGTGATCCTCGTGCCTCAGCCTCCCAAAGTTTTGGGATTACGGGTATGGAACCGCTGTGCCCGGCCAACAAGCTGTGTTCCTCTCTTGCATTCCTCTGCTGCAGCATTTCACAGAACAGTCATGCCCCTCATTGCCATCTGGTTCATACTTATGAGCATCTGTGTCCAAAACTGCTCTTTGTTCTCCTAGAACAAGCTGATGTATCTTTTGACACTCTCCTCACTTTACAGGGAACCAGTTGTTGTTCTACCTCTGAGCTACGATTTTAGGTTGGCTGCTGCTTTCTATGAACTTTTCTGCCATGGAAGAGAGGTAGGAGTCATGAGGCCAGATCTTGGGTGCTCTCTGTCCTCTTTTGGAGGGGAGTTAAATGTCTTAGACCAGGGCCTACTCTGCCTAACCAGGGCAGACTCAATCCTATGGTCTCTTTCCTATAAATCAGCACAAAGACTAGGAGATGGCCTCCCCTGGGTGCCTTTCTGACTCTGCAAGAGTTTTTTTTGGTTTTGACATTTACAAAGTCTACCACTCATCTCCTCAACCAGCTGCTTTCCATATTGATCCGTATTAGGAGGAACCCTCAGGAACTGGTCCCTCTCACCTTCCTTTCCCAGTACTGCCCCTGGGGGGCCACGGTGGGGTATTCCCTTCCTTGCCTTCCACTTTTCAAAGTGGCTGAAATAAAGTCATAATTGTTTTGTCTGCTTGTTTGCTGTGGGTGCATACGGTTCTGGGTTTGATTCTGTCTCTAACTGCATTTTGATTCTGTTGCCTGGGTGCTGGGAAGGAAGTGTCTGTGTTTCTGCTATACTCTGTCACCCTTTCTCACTCT